AATGTCCAAGAGCAAGAATCGTAAACTAACACGATTGCTCATCCTAAGGCGTACGGTCGCCTATTCTCGAGTTCGCAGGGGTGTGCTGGTGACGTCACTACTATCAGCAGCTGATAGTGGTGACGTCACCCGCAGACCTCGATGAATTGCTTGCTTGTGAGCAGGGATCGACCCGGACCGAAATGAAATATCGGTTCCGTTCCGGCCCTCAGCGTCATGACAAATATCGGTTCCGGTTGTAGGAGAAATATTTCGATTCAGTTTGGTTTTCACAAAATATCTAACAGCAAAATTAATGTTTCTGTAATTTGTGGTTTGGTTTAATTTTTATTGGATTTCTCGGCCTATCTGCAACAACTTTAATATTAATAATTGAACAGCCTAATTTATAAAATCTTGAAGCCCAAAAATACCGGTAAGAATCGATTAATTTATATCGGTTCCGGTTCTGCCTGCTTCACAACAGGTAATTTTTCGCGAGGATAGGATAATCAAGCATAATCTGATTATGCTGGGCTATGTGATATGTCAATTGCAATTGAGTCTTTACTCTCCTTCCTCGCCATCCAATTTTTGGTCTGCGAGTGACGTCACTATCAGTAGCTTATAGGGATGACGTCACTCGCAGACCTCGAAGGAAGGCTTGCAATTCAGGCTCTTAGTCAATGTCAGGTAATTTTTTTGTCGATTTTAAATGTAGAAAAGGTGATTTTCGGTCTGTTCTCACAGAAGAAATTAGGTGTTCTTGATCCTCGAGTATCCCAGAATTTGATGGTGGGGGAGTTAAAGGAGTATGACACAATTGACACATCACATAATCCAGCGTCAAGGTAGTTTGAGAGAGGTAGGTTGCCTGATAACGTATGACGTCATCTGGGGTGCCTAAATATATTGCAAATCTCCATAAAGGCACCCCAGACGCGTCATCAAGTTACCAATTATCAGGCAACCTATCAGCATCTAGGAACCTTGATCCAGCATATCGATTATACTTGATTATCCTCGCGAATAATTGCCTTTTTTATGAGATATGGGTTTAGTTCCGGTTTCGATCCGCAAAAAAAAAAAGGGTTCCGTTCCGGTTTTCGGTTCAAGATCGTTCCGGTCTGGGTCCCTGCTTGAGTTGTGAGTAAATTATTTCGTTGATTTTAAATGTAGAGTCTTTTTTTTCCCAAGATGGATTTTTACATTGAAAACTTTGAAACATAAACAATATCGCTTGGCCCTGATTGGAGTGATTGGTAGCAAAATGCCGTGTCCCTGCAGGTTGGAATCAGTTTAACAATGGAGCAAATGACATGTTGTAACCCAATAAGTGGCATTGCTTATGTTTCAGTTGACAGTGTCAAAATCTATCTTGGGAAAAAATAGAGTATAGATAGAAAAGATGATTTTTAACATTTAGGCATTCCTTTTTTTGATCAAATAGTTTTCTAAACTCGTATAATGCATTTTCCGCCAAGAGTTAAGGTCTGGAGGCTGACATGCCAGACACTTTCAGCAAAATAAGCAGTCCTATTAGGCTCACTGACACGAACAGGGACTAGGGATTCTGATAACCGGTAGAACTAATTCAGAATCGATCCGGAACCAATTCGTGTTGAACCGCGAAGAAAGAACTGAAACGAAATTTAGTGATCTGCAAACGACATAATTTGTACTGCCTGCACATGCGAATTCTTACGAATCAAATCTGAATTTCTGAATCCTTACCGCTAGCCTCCATGCCGCGAACAAAGCTGATCTCTAGTAGAAACATTTATCTGGGTTTGGCTATTCAAAACGCAGTTGATTTGGAGTCAGACTAGTCAGAGCAGTTTTCTTGCCGAGTAAAGAGATCGAAAAGTACCACTTTCCGCACTTGTTAGGTAAATAAATATATCATCTGATTACGCAATGAAATATTGCGATCTAGTCATTTGACACTCGTTCCAAAGTGTCGGTTCAAACTGCACTAGAGTTACATTTCAAGCAAAACTGTGTCCTATTTTACCTACAAGCGGGCTGTGAAGCCACCACACTTATTTGCAAGCGGAAAGTAGCACTTTGTGAAACTTTCGAATTGAGCTCCATTTACTCGAATCGATCCATATCGCCCGAAGATTATAGCCGAAGGTAAACTCAAGTAACTCTACGCAAGTTCGAATGCAAATGGGAGTACTAGAGTGCACGGAGTGAGCAAGCGGAAATAGCTCCTGTGTGCAAAACCAAAAAGCATCAATAACCAAATAAATAAAATGCTACAGTGTGCTTTTAAGGTTAGCTTAGCTAGGTGGGTCCAAGGATGATACACACTACTACTACAGGATAGCCTATCCTCATAAGGCCTGTGTGGAACAAATCCCCCGTTCCCCCCAACCCAAGCCAAATCACCAGTTGTGACGTAGGCAGCAAGTTATTTCTCGCTATGACGTAGGCTGTTTAAACAGCTGACGTCTATTAGCGAATTCTATTGGTAGAACCAGTGCAGAAAAAAATGTAATTTTATCTCTTTCTCATACAAGCTGGTAGAAAAAGACACGAATACACTCGGGCGCAATAAACCCTCCCAATAGAATTCCGTATTGGTTATGGTGACACACCAATATGGCGGCAATTACCAAGAACGAGGCCGATAAGCAATCCCTGTAGGTGTGTATCATCCTTGAGGTGGGTCTATATTTTCAAAGATAAACAATATAATAGATATCTCAGTTCATCAACCTATGGAAAACTCCTACCGAGATAGAAATAGGAGAGCGCCTGAAGTCATCGACCACAAGAGGCGCAGTACCACACAATACCACGAAAATGGAGGCTCTTCCATGTCTGGCGCTGATTTGAAGGTCCCTTGGTAGAGTAGACAAACTGAATGAATACACAAGAGCTGTTTTCTCACGTTCATTTTTTTGAAACTGGTTCAAAACAGGTTTGAAACAGTATATTCTCGTGATGAATTCATGACGTCACATGAAAATTGGTTCAAACCGTTTCGAAATACAATCCAATCCACAGTTTCAAACCATTTTTTCGCGCCAAGAAGTTATGACGTCATGTGACACTGTTTTAAACCAGTTTTGAAAAATGATTTAAAACATTTGAGACACGAGAAAACACCTTTAGGTCTGTTCGCACAGAAGTCATAAACCAGTCAGAGTGAATTTCATTGGTTGAGGGCCGGTTTCTCAATAGTTGTATTCTTTTCAAGAATTTAGAACACTAGAGCTAGGCACTCCGGTGTTAGTTGACCCCGATTTAAACCGAACAGATGCGCTGGCTTTCGTGCATTTATGGTTGAGTTTGGGCTTGAGCACTTCAGGTGCAAGAATCACGTTTCGAGAGGAATAAGCGCGTAACGCCCCAGATCTGTTCCGAGACTCCTCTAGGTGAGAAAAGAATACAACTAATTGTTACAGTGGCTAAATAAACCTTTACAGACAGTGGCGACAATAGAGGTCCCGCCGCCATTTTGTTCCCAACCTCTTGTTACTTTTAAATATTAATATATAGGATTTAAATGGACATCTATCATAAAAAATTGAAATCGACGTATTTGATGACTATTATTAGGTCCATCAAATACGTTCTTTTCTATGTTTTATGATGGATGTTCACCCAAATCCCATGAATTCATATTTGAAATAAGCAATAGGTGGGAACAAGATGGCCGCGTTTTCAATATAAATATATGGGATTTTAGAACCAATCAAAAATAAGACAGCAATTGTCACCACTGTGGGTAATAGAGTCACTGTACTAATTGTTGTATTCCTTTCACACCTAGGACGAGCTCCGGAACAGCTCCGGGGCTTCACGCGCTTATTCGTTTCGAAAAATTTTTGTTGCACCACGCATCTGTTCCCTGCAAATCGGGGGGCGACACTAAACACTGGAGCGAGTAGTTCGAGTGTTTCAAACTCTTGAAAGGAATACAACTAATAGCAAGTAACCCCAAGGATAATTAATACACACTACTACTACAAGATAGCCTATTCTCATGAGGTTTGTGTGGAACAAATCTGAAGCCCTCACCACGCCAAATCACCAGTTGTGACGTAGGCAGCATGTCCTTTCTTGCCTTGGTTATTGATTTTGCCGGCTTTTGCTTTATAAATACTTGGTTTTACTACATTAATTACCATTCTGAAATAATTCTTTTTTAGATCTCGCTTCCAGCTTCCTCTTTGCCTATTAGGTTAATTAGAATTAGATAATATTTTTCATCATGAATTTAAATTCTAAACGACGACCGCTAGTGCAAACAGCTGACGACTTAGTTATGACGTCGGAAATGGTGACACACCAATATGGAGGCGATGGAGGTGATTACCAAAAACGAGGCCGATAAACAATCAGTAGTAGCAGAGTTTGTAGTATTGTTTATAATTCTTGAGTAACCCCTGGGTTAAGCAACTCCAGAGCCGCTTTCGAGTGACGAATTTTAAGGTGCTCCACACCCGAGGCTTCACACTCTGGTGTACCAAACAACTCTTGTGTCACTGGAACGCACCCTGATTTAAGCGTCGCCTATTAACAACCCGAGGCACTCTAGAGTAGCTCAGGAGTGCTTAAAGTGCGTCACTGGAAAGCGACTCTGGTAAACATTGCAACTGAATACGTTTACTCTGGAGTTAAAATGAACCTGAAGGTGACTCGCTATTGAAAACCAGCCCTGGAACTTGAAACTAGCTTTCTGATTGTTTTCAACCAATGAAATTCCTTCTGACTGGTTTGTGATTTCTGTGCGAACAGACCTACTAAAAATGAGAATAAAAACGCCGGACGCGATCTGTTCTCCGAGCTGGAATTTACCGTTAGTTTATTTAAAAAGTGTACTCGGTGCAGGCTCATTCGCGTCCGTTTATTAAAATTTCTGGCACTCTGATACAGCGTTCAACTGCTCTGTTCGCTCGCTGGTCACTGATTACGCCTCCGCTCTGCTCTTTGAGCAAAATACCGAACGCAAGGGGAGTACGAACACGAACCGTCAACTAACCCAAACTAACCCAAACCAACATAACCTAACCTCATTTTTGATTTTATATTTTGATTTTGATTCTTGAATATTTTTCTTCAGTTTACTAAATATTTCTTTAATTTATTTTTCCCACTTTCCCTGTATTTCTCATCGCAAACAAGTCTTGATGTTCAATATAAACAATAAATATATAATGTAGCTTGTAGGTAACACCAAACCAAAGCTAAATATAAAATCAATTTAAATTTCAATAATCTCTTGTTACAAATTTAATTTATCTTTCCCAAGCCCCCAAATGATTCCATTAAGAATTACCACTAATATCCTCGCCAGTCGTCTGCAAATAGCTACGTTCAGCCCTATTTTATTCAATCATTTACACCACAGATTAAAAAGTACTGGTACTAGAAGTGAAATAACTCCATCTGCGAGTAGCAAAGAATCTGCAATCGACACAAATGTAAAACCTCTAGGCGAAAGAGTGAAGGAAACTACCAAGACAACTTACAATGCTTTAATTATTCTGGTTGGCCTAGGAGTGATAGGCGGTTTGGGTTATACGATATTTAGTGAATTGTTTTCTAGTAAGAGTCCTAGTAATATTTACAAGAAAGCTGTAGATAAATGTATTGAGAGTACACAGGTGTCTGATAAGCTGGGGTATCCGATAAGCTCACACGGACATGAAACAAGAAGAGGTGAGTGAGTAGGCAATTATTTTTGAATTTTCTCATTTTTCTGCCTTTTTCCCATTTCCCAATTTTTAGGCAGGAGACAACATGTTACTCATGCTTTTTATGTTGACAAGGAAGGAAGAAAACACATTAGAATGAAATTCCATTTAAAAGGTACTTCCCATTCGGGCACTAGCCATGTCGATATGGTAGAGGTAAGACAATATCAATAATCAATAATATGGTTTTGAAGCTATAAACCTAATTTTTCTAGAATGATAAAGGAAAGTATGAATACCGCTACTTATTCGTTGAAGTGGATGACATGTTCAAAAGTGTGATAATTGTAGAAGACAACCGCAACAAACTTGGCCCTGAGTCAAATCTGCACGACCTGGACATGAAATTTTAAATAAAGCTCGACTTTTATTGTAAATTGTATTTTTTATTTATGTTTGTTTTATCCTCATACATCAACACTAAATTGTTTTTGAAAATATAAGTTTTTATTTGAAGTATGATCCAGGATATTATTATGTAAACAGCAATGTATTGCATCCATGCTAACTTTACTATTTGCCAGAATCTTGGTTTGAAGTAAATTTTGTGTTCTGGGTATTTTAGGATAAGGTTGAATGTGAAAGTACTGTCCTGGGTGGGATTTGTAGTTGTTAATACATTGTCCAAAGTGGTTTTTACTAAAAACATTATAATAATTGAGCTACAGTTGGGTGTTATGAATTGCATAATAACTTACATTTGCTCTCTGCATATCTTGCTATAATATTTTCAAATTTTGCACTTTGAATATTTTCCTTATCGATAAGTAAATAGTCTGGGTTCATTGCCAAGTCATATTTAGAACATCTTATTGCTTCTGATTGTTTCAAACCCAAGTCTGCATAGACAGAAATTTGAGTAAGACTACTAGTAACAAAATTTTGGTATATGATGGCACTTTGTGTATGAAAGGTACATGGCAACTAAAAAATACAGATATTATTGAGGATTGTTGTTGATATTTCATACTTACTCCTAGGGTATAGTTTATTGGAAGAACCAAATGGATTGAGCTCATCTTGAAATGCTTTGGAAGACCAGCGGTAATTGTAAAGTGAAGAGAATCGGCTTTTCCATCGTGGTTGTCGTCTAATTCTCGAACCTAGAATAAATAAACTACATTTATTTAAGATGTAGGTACCTATTTGTTGCTTCCTAAATTAAATGCTCATACAGTCAGATGACGTTACCTTAATAGTAGAACAAGTATCAAAATTCTTCATATATTTCTTATAATATGCAAACGAGCTGCAACTTATCACTTGTGGATTTTCGCTTGAGGTTGCCAGAAATAAGAAATCGCCTGTAAATTTGACATCGGGTTGCACGTAAACCACGTCACGTTTTTGCCAAAAACCTAAAGAAAAATGGGTCAATAACAGCGAAGGAAAAAATATAATTAATTCAGTGGAATAACCACAAAGTTACTTTCACATGTATCATGAGTCATTTAATATTGGATTAATCGCAAATTAAAGAATGCATTATATTATGATGTGTATGGAGTTTTGTCATTTTTCGGTGATTAAGAACTGATCTATTCGAAATTGCTTAATGCTGGTTGCGAATAAACTGAAAATAAGGCGAATTTTCAAATGAAAAAGTCCATGAGCAATAATTGGTATTGTGTGCTTGAATGACATAGGTACATATATTTAGGTTTTTCTACTTCCGTTATCCGTATCGTACAAATTATTGTCAACGGTCAACACAAAAAAAAAAACTGAAAAAATGTGAAAAGTTAATAAGTGTTTAACGCTCATTTTATTCCTTATACTAAGGTCGTCCAGGTACGATATTATGGAGACCATAGACCTCACGTTACTTGAAAACGAATGCAGATATTGAATTGCGGTTTGCGCCAAAATGTAGATATTTTTTTGCTCTTTAAGCACAGCAATACAAAAATAATATTATGCCATTTGGATTTTTCATGAAAATTAGGAAAAACTGGATATTGAATAAACAGCGCTCTCTAGCAGACGCGGTGGGAACTATCGACCTCGAACGAAGTGGTGTTCTTAATAACAATGAAATTCTCTTCCAAATAAACCCAAATTGAATGAGTTTGAATGAGGGGTATGGAAGATACAGCAATTTCTAAAAATAAATTTTCACCAGCTTCCCCCACCCTTATTACTGAAGATACGAAAAAAAGCGTAATAACCAAACTGGCGCAAAAATTAATGAACTTTTGATTTCTGTTGTTAAAACAGTGTCTTAATATAGCGAGTTCTTGAGAAAAGTTGAATTTTTAGCTATATCATCGTAATTGCGCCCCCTAGCGGTCATTCTAGAAACTTGAAAATAATTTCCATCAATTTTTCTTGGCCCATTTAGCGAAGAAAAAAAAAATCCCGAAGCCGTAAGGTCTATGGTTTCCATAATATCGTACCTGGCCGACCTTAGTGGGACACCTGGTATACTGTAAAGTAAAGACGTTAATCTATTACTTCCGTTACTTTTGGTACTTGAAACGATTCTATAGGTATAATGAGCCAATAGATCTATAACGAGTCGAAGTAAATATACCTAATACCTGACTACCAATACCATTTCAAAGTTTCAGATAGAGAATTTTCCTAAGCACGATAAATAATAAATAGTTATTGTTATAAAAAATCTTTCAAGTTGACAAGATTTTGCGCAATTTTGCCTGATGCCTAGAAAATACATGTATTGAATTTTTCCGCACGAACGGAAGCGAATCATCTAGACAATCCTAGCAGCAACGACTCGCTATAAAACAGAGTCGGCCACCAAAGAAAGATCAATTAAAAAGTGAGTTAAGACTTCATTGTGTAATAGGAGCTGTTCTCTCCCAAATTCAACAGATATTTTAATAAATTTCCACAATGAAAAAAGTCATACTAACACCGACAGCCTGTCACGTAGACCGTATTACCAATTTTTGGCAGCCAAAAACTCCGGACTTTTTCCACAGATGAAGAACTTTAACTTTAGTACATCAAAATTGTTACTGATACTGACGACAAAGATTCAAGGAAGACTTTAAATAACAAAAAATCATGGAGAGGAAGGCTAGCAAATGGGCAGCGAATTTGGCCGAACAATAGCGAATTTTCTAGACAATTCTAGAAGTAACTACGTGCTACGCACTATAAAACGGAGCCGTACACTCGAATAAAGTCGGTGATAAATTAGTCATCATCATCAATGAACCGCGACGCGATAGTCAGACTGTGAGCTGTGATATAGTTTTTGTGATCAGTAAACTTGTTTGTAGTTAAACGGTAATATCTTGAAGAAATATATAAATTAATTTTGGAAGAGTATAGGTAGTAACAATAATTCATAATTGCGAGTACTGAAAATGTCGGATATCATTATTTCAGAGAGTTTGTTTCAAACAAAAAATTCCGCATGATAAAATAAACTGCTTTAAAATTACTTATTTTGAAGAGACAGTTGATCGACGCGATAGTACAAACACGGAGGAAAATGCTTAAGATACAACGCGAGTGCGATGCCAATATTGCAGAATTATCAGTCATACAAAGCACGAATGTAGAAAGTTACAAAATAAACTACTTAAGGTTGAAACCTCGGTTGAAACTGACCCAAAGGCTCAACAAAATCTTATTTCATTTACTTCTAAAGCAATCAATAAACCTAGTGCTACAATACCGCGATGCAGCATAAAACTACTGCGACTTCTTCTAGTTGCTATGGATGTGGAGATGTGGAGGTTTTATTCGATTCAACTGTCTAGTGTGCCTGAAACGGCCGCGTTGGAATTTTTAGTTTGGATACCTTAGTTTCCCCACGCGCAAGACCGGTCTTAAAAGTGAACATATTAGGACATGTAGGACAAGGTTTGATACTTGATAGATACCTACCGCCGCTAAGCAAAGTGTTGCTAGTTCCACACGTTGTATGAGCTTTTGATAAACAAGGGACAGCAACTTAAAAAGTGAACAAATCACAGTGATTTAAGCTGAAAAAGGATGTTTACACTACAAAAGTTAATGTTATGTTGGAAGGGAAAAATATTCCTACAAAATTTATAACCTTTCCTGGAGCCGAAACGAAAACGCTGTTTGGAATTGATTTTATACAGGATGCTCAAATAACTCTAGATACAGCTAATAGAAAATGGAAATTTACAGATAATGTATTCCATGAATACGATCTTGAATATGAAAGCAAACCTCAAAATGAGTTCTGTGAATTTTCAACCACAGGAATGACAACTACATACTACATCAGCATCAGTTGTAATCATTCCTAAGAAAACAGGTGGTAAAGACTGTGTGTCGACTACCAGAAACTTAATGCTATTACAGTAACTGATAGCTATATCTACTATCGCTATTGGATGAGCTATTACACGCCGCGAAACAGACTCTTATTTACATGGCAACCATTGATCTCAGATCCGGTTACCATCAAGTTAGTGTTTATGAGCCAGATCGCGATAAAACAGCTTGTACAAACAACGTTTGTTGTTTTTTGTTATACGAGAATGCCATTCGGACTCAAAAATGCGCCGGCAACGTTTCAACAGTACATAGATCGGTCTTTAAGTTTAATCGTGTTATCGAGTTCGTTTGAAGATCATATGATAGATGTAAAGCAGTATTTGATAGACTTGACCAATTCAAACTACGTGCAAACCGCGAGAAATGCGTATTCGCGTGTGCTCAGGTGAAATATTTGGGACATCTGATCACACCTCAAGGTCTAACAGTGGATCCAGAAAAAATATCAGCTATATAGGCAAAAAGACCTTCACCACGAAACTTACATAAAGTGCAATCGTTCTTACAAACTGCAAGTTGGTTTCGACGCTTCATTGATGGATTTGCTGAAATATCACGCCCATTAAGTAACCTCACAAAAAAAAATTTTTTTTTGGAGATGATATCCGTTGAACAAGAGTCCTATGACAATTTAAAGAAATTGCTCACCACGGCACCCGTCTCTAAGCAATGTGACTTTACCGAGCCTCACATAATAAGAACCGATTCAAGCGTTATGCTTTTGGAGCTTGTTTACTTCAAGGTGATAGTGAAAAAAATGAACGCCCTATCAAATATGCAAGTAGATTATTGACTGCTACAGAAAGAAAGTATTCTACTTCAGGGAAAAAAAGCCTTAGGCTGTAGTAAGGTTTTAAAAAATTTCGTGAGTACCTACATATAGAGTGTTCACTTGTACCATACAGACAGATCATCAAGCTTTGAGATGGCTGTTAAATATTAAGTCTCCAACAGGTAAACTAGCTAGATGGGCATTACAGACTATCTACAGAATATCTACCAGGAAAGAGAAACAATATAGCTGATATGCTTTCAAGATCACCCTGTGAGCTTTTGAAAATTGTGAGATTTGTACATTTTCCATAGAAATGCCTCGTAGAAGCGCTACGGCTACGGAATTACGAGAAGAGGAATTAAAATATCCCGAGTGATGTAGATCAAGAGTTTAGAAAGTGAACAGAAAGAGGTTAAATCATGACACAATAAGGAGTTTTATACAGATATTCTCGAGAAAGCGACGAAGAACATGTATAAGTACCTAAACAGGAGAGAGAAAAGGTTCTCCAAGAACATCATGATGTTCCAAGCGCCGGACATTATGGTGTTGAACGAACGTTTCATCGAATATCGTAAAGATACTATTTTCCTGGGATGCGAAGAAACATAGCAGATTATTTGAAATCTTGCACAGATACAAACCAACAAATCAAAAACCTGCAGGATTGTTGCAAACACCCGTTTATGCTCAAATACTTGAAACATTGGCTATTGACTTATTTGGACCACTTCCGCCCGGACCTGGAGAAAAAACATGGATATTTATAGTAGAGTTGTTTTCCTTAAAACAAGCTACTGCCGAAAGTTGTGCTACTATTCTAGTAAATGAAATCTTCTTCAGATATGGAATATGTAGGAAATTGATTAGCGATAATGGAGTACAGTTTATATCTGCCATTATGCAACAAGTCTGTTTCATCCTAAAAATTAAACAAGCAATCATACCGCTTTACCATGGTTCTGCTTATATAGTTGAACGAAAAAACAGAGACAAGACTTGCTATTTTAGTTAAAGATGATCATCAGGGCCGATCCTAGCAGGTGTGCAACGCGAGCCCCGCACGCGGGCGGCCAAATCTAGGGGCGGCCGCAGGCCGCCCATAGTTCTGTCATTCAAGATTCAAATGAAACTTTTCACGAATTTCTCAAAATAAAACTACTTCTAATAAAGAAATGAACTGAAGAATAAAAAACCCCTGGAAAATAGAAAGTTTAGTGCACAGTCAGTTTGATGGTTCCTTAAACTCTTTATACATCCCTCATTGGAGGGCAAATTTTTGTATATTATCTCAATAAATACTTCTGCTTTGTTTTTTTAAAATGTTTATTTTTGTTCGTGATCTGCAAGAATAAATATTAACTATCCAACAGCACTAGGTGAATAGTTCGCTAATAATTTAACCAACTTTTGTGGTCCCAAGTTCAGTTGGGTATGTTGTGTAGGTAAGTATTACGACTAGGGACTGGGGTATCTTTGGTTTTTCCACTGGGCCCTTTTTTCTCATATCGGACCTAAGCCCAAGCCCAGGCCCTACTTAGTTTTAAGATAATATCTGTCATCATTGATCACCACTCACACGCATTTAAACAACTCATAGAAAACAAATATGTTCCATACAAGATTTTTTGGACTTGAAACGTCCAAAAACATTCATTTTGAGGCTCGAAATGACCGGTTTTGGGCGTGGCACCTAAGAAAGAACTTTTGCCTCCGGCGGCGCCTGCGGTAGGCTACCACTGCCAGGGCCTGCATATGGAGGACTAGGAGTACTATCTCTATGGGGCGGCACAATTGCTGCTTGCACGCGGGCGGCCGACACCCTAGGATCGGCCCTGATGATCATGGGTCTTGCTCTGAAAAATTACCCGTTGCAAGACTTTCAATGAATTCTACTTGGTGTGAAGCTACAGGACGATCCGAAGCTTATTTGAATTTAGGCCGAAAATTACGAACATTGGGTAACGTAAGCAACGACATAGAAGCTACAATTGAAGCAGAACATTTTGATATAAAATGTTTGATACTTGTTTTTCGTTTTGTTCATCTCTATTTTTTCGAAATTCGTGAACAAAAAAAGTTAACAATAATTTACATAATATCAATAGGCATTCCTTTACAGATATAGCCATATTTAATTACCAAAAATAAATACAATATTTTTTGAATTTTGTCCATTGTGTGCCGTCTCATTGGCTAAAGCCGATAGGTATTCATGATTTTGTTGCCAGATTCAAAAATACGAAATTCAATTGAGTTCAACGATTATATCTATCCTTTATTTTTTTATAACGTAGTCAAGTCAACGAAAATAGTTTCTAGGTAGTGAGTTGTGTAATGATTTACTAATGAGAAATTGGATATACTCATATTTTCTGGAAAGTGACGTCACTTTCCGAGGACAAGACCCACGTTGTGGCACCAGTTTAAAAATTCGATTACCAAATCGTTTTATTTCCAGGAATAAGCGTTTTTTTTTTTTTGAAAAAAAGTAGGGATGTTATTAGAATAATATTTTGTTTTTGAAAAATGTGGATATTTTATTGGCTTTTAAAATTTTAATTAAACAGTTTGAGGGTGTGTGTGTGTGTTGAAGTACTTTTGAACTTAAGCTATGTTTATTCTCAAGATTTATGTTTGTCATTAGTCCACTGCTAAGTGTAATAGATCTATTACCATTTCTATATTACCTCCAGTTTCAGAGCACAACACAAACGGCAAGATAACAGACACTAACCCGGAAAGTAAAGCTACAAGTGTAGCTTTTGACAGTAGAAATGCTTTGTATTTAACTTTAATACATTTTGTATACACTTCTAATACAACCATTTTTGAAGACTGACTGCTATTTGAGAAGAAAAATAAAGCTTTGCGGTACGTATACAAGTTTACCCACTGTAAAAATTATTGTTTGTATTGCCTAAAAATGCCTTATGTTACCATGGTCACACATGGTTTTGTTTTGTAGTAGGTACCTATTTACTGTAAGGGTAGTTTCATACACGTTTTGATATAGTTGCTAACATGGGGCAATTATTATTAATTGATAACTGATCCAGTCAATAAAATTCTAATTCCTAGACAAGATGCTTTGATAAGTACCTACATATTGTATGGATAAAATCAATTACAGAAATTCTTTGTCGAAACCATAGAAGTAGGTACCGTCATTTGGGGTGAAGTCGGACGATTTTTGTAGTTTTTTGTTAATAAAATCTACAATTTAAAGAAAAAAAATCCCAAAAAATTAATTAAGAATCTTCCATGTCTCCTTTGTCAAATTACATACTAAAAGTAATGACATTTGTATCCCCTCCCCTTTTTTTTTAGGTAAGTTGTGTGTCCGCCTTCACCCCTATGTGTGGGGTAAAGGCGGACGACAATTTATTAAGCATTCCAAAGTGTCTTAGCCCCTAGTACGGGGTGCAGTCGGACAGAAAAAATAAAAAAAAATAATATTTATAGCAAAATATTATAAATTTTAGGTAAAAAAAAAATGCAAACGGGCTGTCCGCCATAATTCTTCGATTTTATTCCCTTTTTCTTGTCATGTAAGGTGGATTTAGGAACCCCATAATACTCAGCACCTTGTCATACTTTTTCTGCCTCGTCTAATATCTTCGAGTGCTCTAGCGACGTTTTCTTCATTGTAGTTTTTGAAATTAATGCCGATCTTCTTCTTATAGTGTCCGCCTTCCCCCCTATAAAATGACTTTTTTTACTAAAACACCATTATTTAACAAAAAAAATAATATTTTTCTACGAGCGTGCATTTTTTATTACTTTCCCGCACGCATCTTAGTTCCGAAAATTTCACTTTCCCGCACTAGTGCGCGATTTTGTTTTTCCCCGCACTAGTGCGGGAAAATTCTATTCCCGCACTAGTGCGGGAAAGTGGCGTTCAGAAGAAGTGTCAGTTTTGTTAATTAATCAAACATTTTATCTATTTTGTCTGCCTACATTTTTGCTAGATATACTAATTTATGCGCTCATAAACTATTTTAAATATTCCTATTTTCTATTTTAATCCATATTATTCTAATTTGTGAATATTTCAAAAATGTTATAATTTTTTTTGACATTGTTTGACTTTTTGGTTCCTTTGAGGCGGGGCAGTTCCTTTAGCTCAGAAATTTTGTTTATTGTAACATCAAATCGATTTAATACATAATTTTTTTCAATCATTCTTGAAAGTAAACGTAAAAATATAAAAATAAGTAATTTTGTAATTACAAAATTACTTGGTTTTTGTTTTTATATTTGAATGCGCTCGTAGAAAAAATAATGTACCTAACTCATGCGGAAAGTGTCTTTTCCGCACTCGACTGCTTGCCCGAACTCCGCTTCGCGTCGTTCGGGTCAACGGCAGTCGCGTGCGGGAAAGTAACACTTTCCGTACTTGTTAGGAAAATAACTATTTTTCACCAAATTGCCATGGGTTTACTTATAATAGAGCACATAACAAATATTAGCTCATTTGAAGTAGTTACAGTATTCCCTAGTGCCCAACAGTTTCTTTTTTGGTTTTCAAATTTTAAGAAAACAATAAAATTTATAAAATTCTGACCACGTGCTCTACGGCGAACTTATCCAGCAAAAATGCACCACTCTCAACGATACTCGAGCTAAACTACGCGGAATATGCCGGTTGGTGGATTTTTTGGGCGTCTGGATACCCGATATCGTAAAAAACGCCAGCCAATACCTGTCTGTCCGAGTTCACCCCCACAGTCCGACTTCACCCCAAATGACGGTACCTACCTATTTTAAGTATGACTTGGTTTTAAGTTTTGTTCTACGTTTTTAGTACTTACCTCTAGTTTGAGAAATATTTTTAGGACGTTATTGATCAAGAACATCTAGTTTCGCTTTAATAGAGCACTTAAGTACGTTTTCCTGTCATGGCGGTTGCGATTGAGAACCAAATCTATATGTACATACAATGGCTTATTAGGAAACAACAGGGGGACGACATCACTATTTACTATTAAGATAAATAATAGGATACGAGTGCACTGAAGCTAAAGTTTTGTTGCCACATAGTGGTCTTCACATGTGCGTTAATACCTAAAAATGGATGTAATCCAGAAATATTGAACTTGGGTTGGGTTTGGTGTGAAGAGCTTGGTAAAATCTTTCCACGATAACTTGTAGGTACCTATTTCTTTTCTATTGTTCGTTGTACCAGTAAGTTTCGCCTTTGAGCTTCAAAATATCTTCCTATTCCTATAGGAGATTGCGCAATTTCCTTCTCATCTTCTTTATATTTTGGTTTTTCCGATTTTTTGTAGTATAAGCCTGTCCACTTTATCGTTTTAATACCTTCTTATATCTCTCATGGCCTTATTAATGTCTTTATTTATTTCTTTTCTTGTTTTTGGTATCTTGTTTCCCGTTTTTGTACTTCTTAGAATTCTTTATTCTATTTTTGCTCTTGTTTCTGTACTGATTTTGTGGCCTCTTGCGCTTTACCCTTTTTATTCAGGAATACCTTAATACACCCTGAGATTGACAAAGATGTTATGTTCTTTCAACAAAATCCTGATAATACTTGTTTAATAAAAATATATAGAAGGGGAAAGAGATATATAGACAAGGGTAACTAGGGGTGGATGAGTTATCTATATAGGAGGTAGCAGTTCAATGGTAAGTAAACGTGAAATTAAGTTAATTTGAACCTGAAGGATGATTTTCAAGACAGGTAGTGGTAAGTCAACTGGCTATAATATTGAAGAGTACAAGTGGTTGCAGGTGAGAGGCTCCAGCTTCCAAGGAGATGATGGAACCCTTAATACAGATGCGGTGGATGGTTCCCAAAACGGCACAACAATACGCTTACCTGAGTATACAGTTATTTGATAGAGTGGTACTACTAGGAACCTCTTGGGGTACGATTGAGATTCACAGGCCCCAAAAGCTAGCAATCTATCCAGGTCCAGGATTGAGCACCAGCAATTCAGCAATCAGGTGCCTTTTGTGCATCTAACGACAGCAACAGCAGAAAGGGATGTAACGTTACTCAATATAAAAGGCCTAAAAGAGGGAGTTGAGGTAAGTGCTGCAATCAATTACGTTTTTAGGGACATAAAACTCTAACAGGGATCAGAATACAAAATAAAATGATGAATAATAGGGACTTACCAATGTGGATTGGCCTTTTCGACACTCAACACGTGACACAAACCAAACTTATTTTCCAGAATTTGGGTTTTTACGTAGGGTATTAAAATCTTGTTAAATTAGCAAATACTTGCTGTGGTGTTTTATAAGAATAATAGCCACTCAATTACTTCCCAAATATTCACTCAAATTGGCCAAAATGCCTATAACGTGGCTTCTCTTCGGTGTGATTCTAGAAATAGAAAAATTCCTCCAACAGTAGAATTTCTGGTTACACGAACCGGATTCTAGGGAATTTTTCGTTTATTTTTGGACAGTTCGAATTAATGTATATTACGCATTCAATACTCAATATTCAAGTGTGCAACAGGTGACTTTAGTTCATTGTCTGATTTAAATAATTTCCTAACCCTACCCTACCAACATTTGTTTACATTTTCCTATTTTAACCCTATTTCAATTTTCTATAAGACAATGGAAAGGACTTGAATTCTCAATCAAAGGATGCTATGCTAATTGAATACCTACCTGTTTCAATCTTGATTAGCTCTCGTCACTGCAATACAAGCGAAAGCATACCAACTCAGAGAAACAGGTTTGATTAATAATAATAAATGCGTTTATTCAGTAAACAATATAATACAATATAAACATTTAAAAATATATTTTTTTTTTGGATTTGTGTTGGTCCTACTTTTTTGTTTTATCATTATTTGCTTTCTTCTGATTTGGTTTGTAGTTCGAAAGTAAAAAGATAGCTGACTGTCTTCATGAATATTGCGTTTCGCTCTTATTTGGATTTTTCAGGCATCAAGGGAATCTTGCATCCGTAGATCAGCGGTACAATTCCCAAACAAGGAAGATTAGGTCTAATTGACATCACGTTAGTCGTTAGTTACCTAACTACCTGAAGCAAAAACTTTTTACGATACGTACCTACCCTCTTCTTGCCATTGCGATTTTTATTTTTTGGAAAATCTATCACACACTTCGAGCTGCCAGGCTTAGAATAAGATGATCAATAATTCCAAATAAATGATTAGTAATAATTTCGGCAACAAAAATTCCCACTAATTCGCTTCTTTTTTATAACGCTCAACCAACACAATCCAATATCATCCTTGACCTAGGAATTATTACTTATCAAATTTAATCATTATTACCATGAATAAAATTTTGGCGCTCGTTTACCGAATTCTGAGATTCATGTCATTTATCATCGCGGACCCAAAAGTCAACGATTTCTCGTATGTGTAAAAAACCCGGAGGCTACACAATATTTCGATGAACTATAAAAACGACAAACGAGAAAATCTCCTGGTTATTTTTCAGTGTTAGGTGGTACTGGTGACATTGTGTTATATAGCCTGAAGGACTTGGATATTGTTGATAATAAATTAAATCATCTGAAGGTAAAGTTGTTTTTTTTTTTTAAATTTTAGCTGTAATGGAACAATATTAGAGAGTTTTATTAAAATTAATAACATTCTTTCTACTTTTACCTTTGCTTTCAAGTTAAAATATTCCTAATATTATTCTTTGATTGCATTTTGCATGTAAAGGTGCATTTCCAGATTTTGAATAAACAAAATAATTGGGGTAATGAAATATGTAATAATAGACTCACTTTTCGATATCCCAAATGATTATATTTCGTAATGTCATCAATCTACTACTTGTTCAACCAGTTTTGTTTTTATTATAAGTCAAAATAGTAATTACTCACCTAACTCTGCCTTAGGGTGAAATTTGAAAAAAAAAGTTGATTTTTTGAAAGACGTTCAGCAAATTAGTAAAGTTGGTAAAATAGTCTTTTATACTGATGATTGGATAATTTCTGTTTAACATCTACACTGGTACCTACATATTAGACAAATTCTAAAGTATAATGCAAAATGCTATGAAATTTTCTAGCCTATAAAAGCTACAGGCTACAGACAAGGTAGGATAATCATAACATGTAGATGTGAATCAAATTTAACCACCATCATTCATCATACCTAAAGTTTTATTTTGGAAACAAATTATAGGTATATGAAACCGTTATAGAATTTAAAGTGGTTAATTGTGTATTTTGTTTTTTGCAAAATCCAAGTAGCAATATAAATGCATTTTATTCAAACCGCATACCAAATTAATTCTATGCTTCAAGTCAGAGGAACAAGTAACTTTAAAATAAATACATAAAATGTCTTGATTACAAAGCAAAATTGAAAATCCGGTTCTCGGGAAGATGATTCCCAAGTTGTCTTGAAATCCACATTTATTGCAATGCCAAATAAGCTTACAAATCATGATATACTTAGGCTGTTTCTGAATCATGTTCACCTAAATAACTTTACGGGTGTGAAGTAAGCAACCCAAACTTAGCAGCCAATTTGACGGAAACACCCGAGCGACCATTGACGTAGCATTTTTTCTAAATTCAAAATAAATTCAATAAATCATAATTAGACATCTAGACTAGCCATGAAATTGATAGAGCACTATTTCAACACCTTTTCCAACCCCTATGCAAAATCTCATTGACTCAAACCGCGTCGAAATATGAAAACCCTTAACAAGTAAAAATGCATAAACATTCAGATTTTCGTATTTTTTTTCCAACTCGGACTTCAAGTCTTGCCATGAAATTAATGGAGTAAT